ATGGAAGAACTGAAATGTGGTAGCTATGCATTCATTGGCTTATATATCTCCTGAGCCAATGACAAAACATTTTTTAAAAATTCAATAGCAAGAGCAGGAAAGTCTGCATTTTTGGCAGGCATACTGAATCATATTAATCTTAAGGTATTAATTTAAACTTATTTTTGGCAGTTTCAGGTCTCTTCACATTAATGATGATGATAATCCTTGCATTTGATATAGTGCCTTATCACGTCTTCGAGACATCTCAATGCATTTCGCGGAATATATTGAATATTGAATTGACTGTATATTTTGTGGGCGAAACGCGGCAGCCAATTATGCACAGACAATTGTCCCACAAACAGTCGTGGATTGAGTGATGAAAGTTATGAAGGGATTATTACCCCTGGAAAAGCGATCTGCCATTCAACTAAAACTGGGTCCCAGGTAAACAGAGACGTGTGGAGTAAGGAAACTTGCCTAACGTTTCACCCTGTCCGGGAATCTAATCACTATGCTACACAGTTCCACTTTGAGAGCTTTCTGGCTATATGTTCACATAGTAGTCACCAGCACATTCTCTACTACTACACAAAGTCATGATTGAAAGTAGGCTTCAGTCACAAATATTCTTATGGATTACAACTGCAAACAGCTTCCCACCTCTCACCCTAGTGACAAATTCCTGCCCAGTGATGGAGAGAGGCACTTATAGGAGCATTGAATTTAGAGAATGTGCCCTATACAACTCGTGTCTGGTATATAAACAGGCTTAAACTTTGTGAACAGTCTGTGCATTCTGATCGTCAAAGAAGACATCTGCAACAATTTAGTGAGAGTATAGAGTAGTTTGGAGGTAGTAGTTATAAGTGCTCCGAGACGTCCGGCGTGATGGGCGCTATATAAATGCAAGTTGTTGTTGTCAATATCATGCTAGATCAAAACAAAGTGCCTTCGATTTTCAATGAATACCTGTACTTATCAGAAGAGATAAACCCAATTTGCTATAGTTGATTGTGAATAAAGGCGTTCGTTCACAAGAGTACCGACCGTCTGTCATCCAGAATAGAATTAATTGCTAGAATTTGTTCAATTAGCCAAAGTATTGTACTGTAATGTATCTTAACTTTTTTCGAGTAGCCATAAAAGTATTATTTAAGCTATACAATTAATTAAATGTATATCCTAAAAAGGGGATTTTAGTTTTGGTACATCTTATTCCTTAACTAAATTAGGCTCTTTTTTGAGTAACTTTACTCAACCTTTGGACTTATTGTTTTAACCCTCAGGTTTGCAGTTGTGGCTTTGGTACTTCCCCCAGCTGCCTGGAGGGTAAAGTAATCAGACAGTACTAAATAATAAAGATCGGAAAGTGTTTAATTCCAGGTCTGTACTCAGTTTACTGGTCTCAGGTTGTTGTTTTTGTGTGGAGGGTTTCTCCCTTCCCAGGAATTGAGCCCAGGTCCTCTCGCTTGCGAGGCAAATGCTCTAACCAAGACGGTTCAGAACTCCAGGGATGAAGTTCCAGAGGGTGGGGGCAGAAAGGCTGAAGGCCTGACCAATTAACCTCCACACCCATTAGAAACAGAGGGGAAGAATCAACTAGGTTTCCCCTAATCACAACCACTGATGGAAAGCACTTGTGTGAGCGCAGGATTTGCAGTGATACATGGTGAAATAGCTTGCTGACATTTATTTGTAGGGTTACGGATGACCACATTGGCAAGATAATGAAGGGCCACCACACTAGTAGAAGTGTTACCTCAACCACAGTAAGTTCCTTCGGGAGAATAACTGAAAATTGATCCAAATAAGTTACTCTTTTGATTATTTTCTTACATATTTACAGTTTTTACCCACGGTCACCCCCTCCCCCACACATAACCCAGTTAAATTGCCTGAGGGTGAGATTTGATCTTCAATAGGAATTCACATATACCTATTTGTTTTAGCCAATATAATCAGATCTTTGAACCCCTACACATATTCTGAGCACAATCTACCTCACTTGGCCTCTTATCAATTTTGTAGACTGTAAAAAGATGACTGTTTTTCCCCTCCTAACCCGCCCACCTTTTTACCCTCCTACCTTTTCCTACCTCGTGGAACCATGGTTGTGACTTGATTTGGCAGCTTGCTTGGATTTTAGCTTGCTCCTGTAACATGTGCCATCATGTATTATACAGGGCCTTCCTCTTCCCTTGTACTATCCCCTGTACTATCAAGAGTCCTGTAGCTCAGTGGTTAGAGTGCTCGCCTTGCAAACGAGAGACCTGGGTTCGATTCCCATTAGGGTGAAACCTTGGGCAAGTTTCCTTACTTCACACACCTGATAATAATCCCTCAAGAAAAAAAACTAATAAAATTGCTCACTTCAATCCTCGACTGTTTGTGGGACACTGCTGTGCGCAATTCACTACCATGTTTCGCCCACAAATATACAGTTAATTCACTTTACTCTGTGAATCGCTTTGAGACGTCTAGAAGATGTGAAAAGCGCTATATCAAATGCAAGGATTATTTATATTATTACTATAAAATATGCATTTTGACTTTAGTTAATTTTTTGAGAGACAGGAAAACATTCAGCTTCATGCTTTTAATTTTATTCATTCTTTATCTTTGTACAGAAGTAAAAACAGCCATAATACATTTTGACAGACAGTAATGTTGCTGCCTACACTAATGCATCTTTAATGCATGGAGTGATGCCATAGTTATTAATAATAATCCTTGCATTTGATACAGTGCCTTATCAGATCGTTGAGACGTCTCAAAGTGTTTCACAGAATCTAGTGTAAAGTGAATTAACTGTATATTTTGTGGGTGAAATGCGACAGGACAGACAGGACAGACCAGTTATAAAGGATATTCAGGTTTCTGACGGTTTTTCTACTTCTCCGGGATTCACCTTTTAACTGCATACAATCCTGTTCTCTTAATCTCCACCCTCAATAATTTCTGCCTCAATGAGTGGTTAAGCTTGAGCGGAAATACTAGTTCTTCATAGTCTTTTGATAAACTAAGACTGGAACTGCTTTCCTGACTTGCTTGTTGTTCTCACTGAGTATTCATTGAGTTTATTTGTTCCAAAGAATAATTGTTAACTCATACAAAGATTATTTCTGTTCTGGAGTGTGGAAAAGAGCATAATTTTAAAATGTTGAACAGATAACTGAACTGTTGCAAGTCTCAGTTTAATCTTGTAAATGGGAACTGGAACCTATTTTATTCTTAATGTTCTGCCTCTTAATTTGAATCATCTTGTTATTTTAATCTCTTTAAGAAAGAGAGTCACTGAGGAGTCATTTGACATCCAACAAGCAGGGTTTTGAGCCCTTCCTGAAATTATTCCATTGATAATCGTGTTACACAAAACTGTTCCAAATAACGATAATGAATACAGAAATGTTTAATCCATCATAGTAGACCCCCTCCCCCCAATGAATTGTCTTTTTCTTTAATGAGTAATTTACAGTGGAATGTTCTTGGAGTCATTTTCACTATTGTGGAGTCCTGTAGCTCAGTGGTTAGAGCGCTCGCCTCGCAAGCGAGAGACTGGGTTCTATTCCCCGCTGGGCAAAATGTTGGGCAAGCAAGTTTCCTTGCTCCACATGCCTCTGTTTACCTAGCAGTAAGTAGGAACCCGGTTGTTAGTCAAGTGGCAGATCACTTTTCTGGGGATAATAATCACTAACAAAAATAATAATTTGGTCACTCAATCCAAGACTGTTTGTGGGACACTGCTGTGCACAATTGGCTGCCGCATTTCTCCTACAAATACAAGTCAATTTGCTTTGCAGTACATTCTGTGAAGCTCTTTGCGATGTCTAAAAGATGTGAAATGCGCTATATCAAATGCATGGATTATTATTAATTCGAGGCTCTGCTGCAATTTGCAATCTCCATGAGAACATCTAAAGCAGCTTATCTTGTACGATTAATCTTGTTAGACCTCAAAGGATTTTGGAATATTAGCTGATTCTGGCAAATTCAAATTGAAACAAATTCAAGTCTGTGGAAAATATAAATCTGTGTTCCTCAAAACGTTTTTTTAATTTGATAGTAATAATCATTACATTTGATATAGCGGCTTTCACATTGGGAGGACGTCTCAAAGCACTTCCTAGGATTTATTGCAAAATGTAGAGTATTTTGTAGGTAGTGAACAAAGCAAAGAATATTGAATACAATTGTCTATTAGGAGCTGAAGTGAGACTGAATTAACTTTCCTCAACTATTGGCTTGTTTCTTCACTTATTGTAGATTGAAATAGTGTGACGGCAAAATCTGTGCTTTTGATATGTTGTTGAAGAAAATGTTTGTACTGGTTGTGAGAGGGAGGAAAGCGGAAAAAGACCTTTCCTTTCCACACTGGAAAAAATAATGTTTTAAATAAATTTTAAACCTTAAATGGAGTGCTCCTTTTTCTCTATGCACATTTTCTAACAATATAGATATTCTCATACTAATTTTTTTGCCATTTATCTTTTTATTAAAATGAGTTTGAAAAAACATTGAATGTCATTCCATGTGCATCAAAGTAGATGTTTTGTCTTTGTGTTTTGAAGATGAAATGTGCTGACAGATTGACCGATTTATGGTAGGTCAGGGTATTAAGGGATACGGGGAGAAAGCGGGAAATTGGATTTGAAATTCTAGTAGAGATACAGATCAACCGTGATCCACAAAATACACAGTCACTACACTTTATAGTATATTCTGTGAAGTGCTTTGATACATCTCAACAGTGTGAAAAGGCACTATATCAAATGTAAGGATTATTATCACAAGCATTTCCTTTTGTTTATCTGTAGAATATTGTGTTTCACAGCTAATGTTTGAGAGCGGTACAGACAGACAGTTGAGATTGATTTTGTTGTTGTTGTTGAGATTGATCATCTTAAATAGAATTTCATCTGGTCATTTCCAGTGCAAGACATTATTCAGTTTTTGGAGTGAATTATTATACTCACAATAATCTAATCTTGTGTACGTTGCATTGATTGTCATGCTAACTGCTGTGTTTGTATTGCCTTTAGCCCGTGCTGTCCCTCCAACACGTGAAACAAATGCAGGAGGTTTACAAATTCAACAGCACAAAAAATGCGGAGATCCGTTTCAGGTACAGAATAATAAACAACACATGACATTTACACAGAGCCTTTCACGTCAGGAGGACGTCCCAAGGCGCAGGCCAGTCAGGGATTTCGACCCGAGCTGGGGGTTGGGATCAGGAGGGGTGGAGGACAGCAAGGGTAGGGGTAGGTAGGGTTGAAGAGGAAGGTCTTGAGTTGGGCCTTGAAGGAGACAAGGGAAGGGATGAGGTGAATGGACTGTGAGTTGGAGTTCCAAAGGGTGGGGGCAGAAAGGCTAAAGGAAACCGGATAAAAGAGGGAAATGTTCAGTTTTTGTTCATAATCATCGCCTGATGGGGAAAGTAGACGTGTGGACATTGCGTAAGAACGAGATTGGATTTGGCTGTGGATCGTTAGAAAGAAGAGGATTTAATTCCCTTTGAATCTGGTTTAGATTTAAACCAGAGATTTGGCAATCGCATTCTTAAAACTGCTTTTAGCACTCAGAAATGTGACTTTGTACTCTTTTGGGTTGAGTGATTAACGTTAGATTTGCTTAGCAGTATTGTGTAGACTTTATGATTTTGTTATTGATCCACACAAGATGGCTCCGATTGTGTCTGCGAGCCAAGTGGGAGGAGGCCATTCCTCTGGCGTTACAGATGGTGACAGAACAAGGCAGAATGAAGTTCACTCGACCTCTTTACAGGTATCATTCACTAATAGTTTCACCTTTTTAGCTATTAGAATGTGGCATTGTGTTTTGAAAGTCTATTGGGCAACATCACAGAAACTGCCAACAACAACACAGGACATTTACTCAGTGCCTTTCACATCAGGAGGACGTCGGGGATTTGGACCCGAGCTGGGGGTTGACATCTGAAGGGGTGAAGCGCAGGGAGGATGGGACAAGGGTGGTCGAAGGCACATTTGAAGAGGAGCATCTTGAGATGGGCCTTGATGGAAGCAATTGAGGGGGCGAGGCCGTGGGATGGAGTTCCAGAGGGTGGGGGCAGAGAAGCTGAAGGCCTAACCCCCGATGGGGCAGGGGACGTGGAGCAGGCCGGAGCCAGCAAAGCGGAGGGAGCGGACAGGTTGATAAGGTAGTAGCCTGTCACAGAGGTAGGAAGGGACAAGGCTGGAGGTCCGACACCCGGCAGACCCCAAAATACTAAGAGGCCCTGAGGTAATATTCTGTGTGTTTAGATTTGCTGAAGTTTAGCACTTGTGTATTCAGGTTTGTTTAAAAAGCAATATTGGTTGCAGGGATCTGTACAACTTTGAAACAGCGCGTCAGCAAACCAAGAACACGTTTGTGAAGAATAAACCCAACATGCACCCGATCACAGCCAGTATCATCGCCAAAGACCTTCACATGGATCAACAATAGAACATAAGAATTTTCTGGCAAAAGAAGATCAATGTCCATCCAGTTCGCCTCTCACCATCCTGGCTGTCACTTGACATGTTGTGTCCTAAACTATACACTGTATCCCCAGAGATTATTTTCTAGCAGAAATCTAATTTGTTCTTGAAACAAACAACATTTTCTGCTCCCACCGTCTGTCTCCCTCGGGAGCCTGTTCAATACATTTACAACTCTGAAGTAGTATTTCTGAATTTAGCCCCTTCAATGTCCTCTGGTTCTACTGTTCAATACAAGATAAAACAGCTTATCATGGTCTATAGTCAATGCCTTCAGAATCTTAAAGACGGTAATCATATCACCTCTCAACCTTCTATTAATAATAGGACTGCTCAGTCACGTAAAGATGGGCTGATCTGGAAATTAAGTAGTCCAGTATAAGAGCATCTTCTGAACAATAATCTCAGCCCAAAACTTGCTCTTGACAAATTTAAAGTGAAATACAATTGACATAAGATTTTTTTTAATGTGTTCATTGAAATTCTGCATTACAGGGATGAAATCAGTTTTTCTATAATTGTTACTGGTTTAACAAATAAACCAGTATTTGGTTTAGGAGATTTAACTAAAAATAAATCTTTACCAGTGATTTGAGCGCATTATTAACACGTGTATCAGTAAAATAATAAAAATCTAAAATAATAAAATGATTGAGTTTTCTGCAAATTGTTCTGGCTGTTTTTCTTTTGGTCAATCGGCTGTCTGTCCCATGGAAAGCCATCTCTGTGCTTAAGCCATCTAAACCAAACTGAGTTTCAGGTAACAATAAACCAACACCCGAGTGCCTCTATTACATTAGTAATAATCCTTGCATTTGACATAGCGCCTTATCATGTAATTGAGACTCCTCAAAGCGCTGGTTGCTCAGCCTAACCATCATGATCTACAGCAGGGTGATCCAGCTGGTGGCCGTGGGCTGCATCCGGCCCCTCCTCCCTCCATTTTATCCGTCCCACCTGCTCCCTCCTTAACCTGTAAATGTTGGATGTTTCTGGAAGGGAAACAAAATGCGTCTCACAAACATTTCCCAAATAGGGCAAACAGCCCTCAGCAGCCACAAGGTTGGACCCCCAGGGCTACAGTGAATGCGACTTCTATTATATAATGGGGGGAGGGGGGGAAGGCGCATTTAAGGGATTAAAAACTGCTTTAAAAACATACTAGACTGGAACGTGCAAAGCAAAACTGTTTGCAAAGGTTTCTGAAGGCGTATGGATTTGTAAGAATTACAAGTTGAAGAGAGTGCTAAATGTTCAGTAAATGTACACAAACAAACACCCCCCACCCCACCCCGTTGCTCCCTTTCACTCAGCGATTTATTCATTTTAATTTTGAACTACAAATGTTAATTTTCAACTAAAAATGGAATATCTGTGGTTTTCTGTGATTTGCTGATGGTAATTGTGTGGAGAGAGAGACTTTGGAATTCCAGACTTTCTCACTGTTGACTAAACTTTATGATTGTGTGAAATATATGGGAAAACTTCAGGTGTTTGGTTAGTAATTAAAAATAAATCTTTACCAGTGATTTGAGAGCATTACTAACACGTGTATCATTGGATAATAAAATGATTTAAGTTTTCTGCAAATTGTTCTGGCTGTTTTTCTTTTGGTCAGTCTGACACCTGGAAAGCCATCTCTGTGCTTAAGCCATCTAAGCCAAACTGAGTTTCAGGTAGTGTTAAACAATAAACCAGCCGGCACCTGAGTGCCTCTATTACATTAGTAATAATCCTTGCATTTGACATAGCGCCTTATCGTGTAATTGAGATGTCCCAAAGCGCTTCACAGAATATATAAAGTGAATTGACTATATTTTGTGGGTGAAAAGCAGCAGCCAATTGCGCACAGCAGCGTCCCACAAACAGTCGTGGATTGAGTGACCAAATTTTTTTTTCTTTTTGGAGCGATTATTACCCCGAAAAGCGATCCGTCAATCGACTGACAAGTGGGTTCCTATTTACTGCTGGTAAGCAGAGGTGTGCGGAGTAAGGAAACGTGGCTAAGATTTCGCCCTGTCCAGGAATCGAACCCAGGTCTCTTGCGAGGCGAGCGCTCTAACCACTGCTACAGGACTCCACTCCTGGCCTGAACTGCAAACTATACTCTTTAATCCCCAGAAACCTGTCACTGCGATGACGAGCATAATCCAACAACAACAAAATGACGTTTATAGAGCGCCTTTCATGTTGGGAGGGCGTCCCGAGGCGCTGGACAGTTGGGTCAGGACCCGAGCAGGGGGAAGGGTAGAGGGGAGGGAAGGCAGAGAGGTGGGAGGGAGACCAAAGACACGGTCGAAGAGAAGGGTCTCGAGACCGGCCTTGAAGGAGGTGAGGGAGGAAGCGAGGCGAAGGGACCGTGGGATGGAGTTCCAGAGTGTGGGGGCAGAGAGGCTGAAAGCCCGGCCACCGATGGTAGGGCGGGTCGGGCGGGCGACATGGAGCAGCCGGAGCCCGATGAACGGAGGGAGGGGACAGGTTGGTAGGGAGTCAGCAGGTCAGAGAAGTAGGAGGGAGCAACGCCATGGATGGCCTTAAAGGTGAGGACGAGGATCTTGAACTCGATCCTCTGGGGGATGGGGAGCCAGTGGAGTCGGGCGAGGGTGGGAGTGATGGGGTCACGGAGCCTGGTGCATGAGAGTACGCGATCTGCCTCGCCTCCTCCTTATCCTCCTTCAAGTCCTGCCTCAAGACCCTCCTCTGACCATGCCCCCTCCCTCACCCCCAGCTCAGGTCTGAAATGCTGTACACTGTCCAGCGCCTTGGGACGTCTTCCCGACGTGAAAGGCGCTGTACACGTGTAATATTGTTGTGAAGGGAAGAGTTGTTAAGGGCGATGAGGAGGGAGGTGACGAATGTGTGGGTGAGGGTTTCGGCAGCCGGAGGGGTGAGGCAGTGGCGGAGTCTGGCCATGTTGTGGAGATGGTGGTAGGCAGTACCGGTCACGGTGCAGATGTGGGGGAGAAAGGGCAGTTCAGGGGTCAATGCAATCCATTGCATTAGTTGATTTTCTGACTTTGATACCTGATGTTTTATTTTTGGATTATCCGCATCACCAATTTGACTTCTGTGAGTTATTTGTCCTTAGATTGACGGTTTGGACTATGAGCAGTGAGTTTTCTCAACAATTCTGATCAGCAGAAAGTGTAGAGTTAGAAAAACCCACTCACCTCAGGGCCAGACTTTGTACTGGATCCATCCGCACCTTCAAGACTGAGGTTGATGGATTGTTGGTTGGTCAGGGTATTAAGGGATAATGTGGAGAAAGCGGGAAATTAGAATTGAAAGGATTAATTGAGGTACAGATCAGCCAAGGATCTAATTATAATAAATTGACCAATATTAAATTGGTCATTTTCAATCCACGGCTGTGTGTGGGACGCTGCTGTGTGCAATTGGCTGCCGGGTTTCGCCCACAAATACGCTATCAATTCACTTTACAGTTATTCTGTGAAGCGCTTTGAGACGTTGAGAAGACATGATAAGGTGCTCTATCAAATTCAAGGATTATTATTATCATTTTGATCATGTATGTTTGCAGAAGCAAAATTCTGAGCACTAAATCATGAATATGACACCAAAACAGCCAGCAACATATCCCCTCTGATTCTTCGAATGACTTACGAGCTCACAAGGAATTGGATTTTATACTGAAATCTGTAATTTGTTAACAAAGTTATATTCATTAACAAGCAACACATTATAAATTGCAATTTGGAGGAGGATTACTGACCAGATGTTGGCAGTATCACACACAGCACCACAGCTCCCAGCGGCCATGCCTCGCTACACCGTGCACGTGAGGAGCGAGTGGCTGACGGTGCCCTGCAAGGACACGTGTAGCACCGTGTTGTGGTTGGGCCGAGAGGCCTTGAGACGCTACGTGAAGAACAAGCCAGACAATGGCGGGTTGGACTGTGTGGCTGACGTGACGTTCCTGATGAGACGCTGTCAGGGACAGGGATTGTTAGATCCCGATGATGCCATTGAGGACGTTCTGGAAGACAATGATTTTGTGGAAGTTGGTAGGTTTCCTCTTCATTCACAAATGGCCAATGATGTCATTTACTGTTCTCATAATACGTCTCAAAGCGCTTCACACAAAACACTGACGGCAGATACACTTGCCATGAACCTGCTGAAGATCAATGAAGAGCTCAGTCAACCTCCCGGGGCAGATAGACAATAGGAGACGGAGTCTGTGCTGATGTGTACCAACACGATGGCCCCTTCTGTGCAGATCATTGCAATCTAATAAACAACAATAATAATAATCCTGGCATTCGATACAGCGCCTGAGCACGTCATCGAGACATCTCAAAGCACTTCACAGGATACACTAAAGTGTAGTGACTGTGTATTTTCTGGGTGAAACGCAGCAGCCAATTGCGCACAGCAGCGTCCCACAAACAGTCGTGGGTTGAAGTGACCAAATTATAATTGCTTTTTTCTTCTTGAGGGATTATTATCAGACGTGTAGAGTAAGGAAACTTGCCCAAGGTTTCGCCCTGCTCGGGAATCGAACCTGGGTCCTCTCGCTAGCGAGGCGAGTGCTCTACCCCCTGAGCTACAGGACTCCAACAAACAAAGCCCATTCAGGGTCATATTTACCTTATGACCTGAATGGACTGACAGAACCCTGATTTAACGTTTTCTTTGATGGACGGCACTTGTGACAACACAGCCCTCCCCAAGTATTGGAGTGTTACTATGTGATGTGTGTTTACATCAATGATTGGACCTGATTGATGTCTAAAGTCTTCTGGTTGTTCTGTTATATAGTTATCACAGGAGATGATTCCAGAGCCACAGAGTTCAACTCTTTGAGCACACAAAGAGCATTTCTGTATCCTTTGTCTTGTGTTTATTTTGCCATGTAATCAATGCTACGTACTGGTCGAATGCAGTGTCATGTATTGTATAGGTGTATCATTGTAATATTTGAGATTGATTATTATGAAAGAGTGCTCTTTGTCCAACTTGTGGTTACTCTTCTTTCGGGTGCTCTAACCACTGAGCTACAGGTCTCCAGAGTTAATAAACAGCTAAGGAGGCTGGTGCTACAAATCTATCACATCATGTTACAAATTCTTAATAAATATTACAGAAAATATCGGGAGCCCCAGGAGGTAAGAGAAGACAGAATTATTGTACCACTCTAAATTTAATTTAACGTTGATTTAAAATCAGTAATGCTTTGTTTGGATGGATCTGAGCAGATGGTTTTGATGAAGACAGATCTTGGGAGAAACATTCTGCTTAAAGCATCGGAGATAAGATGTGAAATTGCATTATTAGAGTCATTTTGTTTTGCTCAGCCGGGTGTCTGACACATGCGGAAACCCGTCACCGTTGCTTAAGAGTCTCCAAACCAAACTGAGAATTCCCCACATCCCAACTACACCTGGAAACCCCAGAGAGAGATTGTTGGGATGGAGTGCGCTCTCTCTCCCCCTCTGGAGGGACACATCTTGTTTACCTAATTCAGGAGAGTATTAGGTGCAGGTTGGCAAGAACCAAGGCTTGGGGGGAGTCCAGAGTGTGCGTTGGGGTAACTGCTGGAGTCTGACCAATTAAACCCAGACAGCTTAGCCATTGAGAGCGCTGTCTGGCAAATTTTAGTAAAGGCAGAGTAAGGGCAGAGGTTAAGGGCTGTGAAGGGCAAGTCTAGGTTAAACACCGAGAAGGTTTTTTATGTATGCTTTCAAAGGGAATTGGATAGGTACTTAAAAATGGAAAAATGTGTGGGGCTATGGGGTAAGAATATGGGAGTGGGACGAGTTGGGGCAATAGAGGGGGAGTGGGACTAGTTGGGGCAATAGTGGGGGAGTGGGACTAGTTGGTAGCCCTTTCAAAGAGCCAGCACAGGCACGAGGGGCTGAATGGCCTCCTTCTGTGCTGTATGATGAGGTGGGTATTCTGGAAGGATGCGATCAGATGGGCTGAAATGTAGTTTCTAATCTGTAACTCATGATCTCTTGTGAGTGATTGTTGTTCTCCTCAGTACATTGAGTTGGATGGAAAGACCTTAACCACAGAAAACCTGGTCAAGCTTGGTAAAGGGCTGTACAAGATCCAGGTACAGTGTTCTCTGTTAAGTAGGATTGCTTGACATTTGATATTAAAACCAATCGCTTCAATTAAAAACGGTTTGGCACCTGAATGCAGAATGGATTCTTGTCTTTCAGCTCACTCCAGAGGCAGTCACAGGAGTCAAAAAATCCCGAGACCTTGTGGAGAAAATCATCAACGAAAACAAAGGTTGCACATTACTCCGTCAATAATAATAATATTAAACTTTGTATTTGATATAACCCCTTATCATGTCTTCAAGACGTTTCGAAGTTTGTTACAGAATAGACTGTAAAGTGAATTGACTGTGTATTTTGTGGGCGAAACGCGGCAGCCAATTGCGCACAGCAGCGTCCCCACACACAGTCGTGCATTGAGTGACCAACATTTTTTTTAATCTGTCAAAAATGGAACAAATGCATGCTCTATTTCTACTTTGTTTGAAAAAAAATCTTGTCATCTAGAAACCCATCATTAGATATTCTCGAATCACTTCATGTGATATTTTAGAAATTGAAGTTAACACAAACTGAGGACATATGAGCATCGTGACTCCTAAACCTTATGTCTTCTAATATTTTCCATTGCAGCTGTGTATGGAATAACAACCGGCTTTGGGAAATTCGCCAGAATTGTTATTCCAAATAACAAGCTGGAGTAAGTATGTGGCCAGTTCTGTACTGTTTGGTGTAACGGTGATTTCCTTGCATTGTTCATTAATCGAGCTTTTGCTGTTACAGGGAGCTCCAAGAGAATGTTATATTGGCCTCTGCAGTGGGTAGGTAAAGTACTGTAACTCCTTTCCCCACGCAAATTTCTGTCACTTGCCTGAAACACTCGAGAGCTTTATTGTCTGTCAAACACATGTTTTGCTATCACCTTACAGCTAAGTACATATTTCTTCTCTGACCTTTTTTCACCTTATCAACAATAAATGAACAAAAATATTTTACGCAATGTAGATACAGTAAAACTCGCATAAGTCCGATCTGTATAAATCGTATAATTCGCCTAAGTCGCATTTGCCAAGTTTAACATAACTCATACTTTCTGTAAGTTATCTTAAATGTATGGACCCAACTGATACGACTTATGTGAGGTTTACTGTATTTGCTTAATGAGATCCAATTTGAAGTGAAATCTGTCCACTCTGCTTCATTTGGAAGGAAAGACAATTTAATGGAATATTCAAAATAACTAAAAAAGTGTAGAATTCATACGATTTCTAAACAATCTGCATTAAATATTTTGTAAGTGGAAATGGTTTGGAAGTATTTGCATTTGTACATTCACTGCTGTCCGCAATTTGCTGTGTTTCTCCCACAAAATATACAGTCAATTTACATTACAATATATCCTGTGAGGCTTTGAGACGTCTTGAAGATGTGATAAGGCGCTGTATCAAATGCAAGGATTATTATTATCATTGTTATTATTGTTATTATTACATTGTCCTCGTCCAGGTGTTGGAAAACCTTTGTCACAGGAAAGATCTCGGATGCTCTTGGCTTTGAGGATCAATGCTCTCTCTAAGGGACACAGTGGGATTTCTTCAGAAACCCTCCATCAAATGATCCAGGCTTTTAACGGCAAGATATAATCCTTTATCTTATGGTCCTATGGTCATATGAACATACATGGACTCAGTGCAACATTCTGTCTCTATCTTTGAAACTCCATCCCACAATCCCTTCCCCTCTCTCCCTCCCTCGCCTCCTTCAAGCTCCATCTCAAGACCCTCCTCTTTGACTGCACCTTCAGTCACCCTCCTTCCCCCACCCTCCCTGCCCTCCGCCCCTCCTGATCCCAACTTGGATCCAAATCCCTGACTGTCCAGCACCTTGGGACATCCTCCTGATGTGAAAGGCTCTGTGTAAATGTCACTTGTTGCTGTTGTTAATTAAATTGTTGTTGATGAAAAAGGAAGAGTTAAGCACTACATGTAAAGAGTAATAGACAAAATAATTACAAAATGTTAACCTAATTTGTTTAATGTTGTCTCCTGTAGCTTCCTGTCTCTCATACGTCCCAGAGAAGGGAACAGTTGGGGCCAGTGGAGATCTGGCTCCCCTTTCTCACCTCGCCCTGGGGCTGATGGGCAAAGGCAAAATGTGGTCACCAAAATGTGGATGGGCAGATGCTGAAGACGTAACATTTGTTTTCAATTTATTCTTTATATTTATTGTGGAGTCCTGTAGCTTTAGTGGATTTTAGATACTTGTTTAAAAATGTCCCATTGCTGTATCCCCCTTGATTAGGTTTTACGAGCTCACAGTCTCAAGCCGATTTCACCGAAAGCTAAAGAGGTAAGGAAACGTTACTCATGTCACACATATTGGACGTCACCTGGAACATATTGGTATCATCACTATATCTCAAACACTAGCACACCACATCTCAGGAACCAGAAAAGCAATGTGTCGGGGACATTGCTAGCTAACATTTCTTTTCATTTGCAACAGTTGTATGTATGTATATATATATAATATATCTTTGTATTTGATATAGCGCCTTATCACGTCTTTATCACAGTCAATTCACTTTTCAGTATGAAGCGCTTTGAGACGCCTCGAAGACATGATAAGGCACTATATCAAATAAAAAGACTATTATTATTATATTATTACATTATTATTATTATATTGCTGTGGTCAGACCATTGGAAATGATGAGAATTTCTGGAGAAAATGTTGACGTTTAATCCAGTTAAAAGGATTATTATTATTTTTTGGAACTCATTTTCTGTTGAGGAACATTGAATGTATTTAACTCAAATCTCCATTCCTGGCTAGGGTTTGTCACTCATTAATGGGACACAGATGATCACGTCGCTGGGAGCTGAGGCTGTGGAGAGAGCGACTGCTATAGCCAGACAGGCTGACATTATAGCAGCTCTTACACTGGAGGTTCTGAAAGGCAGCACAAGAGCCTTTGACAGTGGTGAGTATTCTGTTAAACAGACCTGATGTAAACTACTCTATTGGCATTTTTCCCTTCCTTATATATCAGTTGGCGACATCAACGGCCAAGCTGTGTGGGTTTAGCTGGTTAGACTCCAGCAGTTACCCCGACACACTCTGGGCTCCCCCCAAGCCTTGGCTCTCGCCAACCTGCGCCTAATACTCTCTGGAATTAGGTAAACAGGATGTGTCCCTCCAGGGAGAGAGAGAGCACACATTCCATTGCAACAATCTCTCTCTGGGATTTCCGTGTGAAGGTGGGATGTGGAAAATTCTCAGTTTGGTTTGGAGACTCTTATCAAACCCTTAATTTTCTTATCACTTCAGATAACATAATGCCAATACTGCCTTTCTTTCCTTTTCTCACGTGACAGATATCCACAGCTCCCGCCCTCACCCTGGCCAGGCCGAGGTAGCCTCTCGCTTTAGGTCACTACTGGATTCTGACATTCATTCATCCGAGATCGCAGGTAGAACCTTCACCACCTTGTAGAGTCCTGTATCTCAGCGGTTAGAGCACTTGCCTCACAAGCGAGAGACCCGGCTTTGATTCCCAAGCAAAATAAAACATTAGGCAAGTTTCCTTACTCCCCATGCACGCCTCTGTTTACCTAGCAGTAAGTAGGAACCATTTGTTATTGGCAGGTCGCTTACCAAGTGTAATAATCACTTTAAAAAAATCGTAGTGACTCAATCCATGACTGTTTGTCGGACACCGTACACTATGTTGTGCAATCGGTTGCTGCGTTTCGCCCACAGAGTATACAGTCACTTTATAGTGTATCCTGTGAAGCGCTTTGAGACGTCTCGAAGACACGATAAGGCGCTGTATCAAATGCCAGGATTATTATTATTATTATTGCTGCTATTATTCTTGCTTCATGTCTCTGTGTTAATGTTCCTCTAACCTGTTGAAACTTTCCCAGACAGCCACAGGTTCTGTGATCGTGTTCAGGATCCCTTCACAATATGCTGCTGCTCTCAGGTAAGTACTATGACACATAAATAATGTCACATATTTACTGTTACACCAGGCAAGCTGACCATGGCAGCTCTCGTTTTAAGTTCTAACAATAACAAAGCTTCTCTTGTTTGGAAATCATTTCTTCCAGGTGCACGGTGTGGTCAATGAAACTATTGCTTTTGTGAAAAAAATTATCCTGACAGAAATTAATAGTGCTACAGATAACCCGGTATCCTTTATAATAATAATAATCTTTGCATTTGATATAGCGCCTTATCACGTCTTCGAGACGTCTCAAAGCGCTTCACTGAATATACTGTAAAGTGAATTGACTGTATTTTGTGGGTGAAACACGGCAGCCAATTGCGCACAGCAATTACAATCTGGCAGATGAATGTTGAACCTTAATATGTTTGAAGATCGTATTTGCAGAGAGAGGAGAAATTATTTCAGGTGGAAATTTCCACGGTGAATATCCGGCTAAAGTAAGTGATCATCAACAACAACTTGCATATATAAATATATACAGCGCACTCCCCACCCCAAGCAGATTAGGGTTCCCCAAGCATTTGTTCAAACTGTTTAGAGAATAATTCATGTAGGGCCAGGGATAAACATCCCACTGTGAACATATTGTAAGAATATCGTAACAGAAATAAAACAAGCCAAACCAGCCGTACCCACCAATAGCCAAATTATCCTACTGGATTATCACATCCCTCTACAGTGTTTCTACCTCATTGGTTACTACTTCATCCATTACCACCTCATAAGTAATCATTACTAATCTCTAAAGCATCAATAAATCTGTCCCAAGTCTGATCTGTGTAAACCGTATCATCACTTAGGTCGTACATCTGCCCAAGTTCTGTTCAAGAGTTTCTATTCTAATCAAGTTTGACATAACTCATACTTTACATAAGTCACATTAAATGTATGGTCCCAACTGAAAATAATAATAATAATCCTTGCATTTGATATAGCGCCTTATTACATCTTCGAGACGACTCAAAGCGCTTCACAGGATACACTGTAAAGTGAATTGACCGTAAATTTGTGGCTGATACGATTTATGTGAGGTTTACTGTAGGTTTACTGTATTCTTATAGGAGATTTTGATAGTTTAAGCAATGTTTGAAATTGTATTGGCAAACAGATACTCACAGCTGCACACTAAATGGACTGACTGAATGTTGTATCTTGTGTTATAACGAACTCTCCAGGCCCTGGATTACTTGGCTATTGGTGTTCATGAACTGGCTGCAATCAGTGAGAGGAGAATCGAGAGGCTGTGTAACCCTTCTCTCAGTGGCCTGCCAGCCTTCCTGGTCACTGACGGGGGTCTGAACTGTGGCTTCATGGTGATTCACTGCACAGCAGCGGCTTTGGGTACAGATATCACAGTTATAAATGTCTTAATAAAATAAATCCTCCCATTTATCTACAATTCCCTTCCTGCCCTGGCACCTCCCAATCTCTTCCACCTGCTTACTCCCCAACACAAGATATAACAAAGTAAGATGTCATCTTTTCTGTTAAATATATTAAAATAAATAATTCTGCTGTGTAATCATGTTATTTCCAATCTACAACATAATGTTTATATATATGTGTTATATACACACTTACCACACTGGCTGCCAATATTGTGTTGCTGATGTAGTTAGACAACGGAAGTTAAATCACATGGAACAGGTGATTGTGAAATAATCTGTTGATAACTGATGTTGCTGCAGTGTCTGAGAACAAGGTTCTGTGCCACCCGTCATCAGTTGACTCCCTGTCCACCAGTGCAGCCACTGAGGATCATGTCTCTATGGGGGGCTGGGCTGCCAGGAAAGCCTTGAGGGTCATAGAGCACGTGGAGCAAGGTAACCCTGACTAAGAGAACAAACAATACACACACATATATATAAAATAATCCTCGCATTTGATTGTTGCATTTCATGATGTATTGTACAGTGTATCCTGTGAAGCGCTTTGAGACGTCTCCAAGACATGATAAGGCACTGTATCAGATACAAGGATTATTATTATTATTACAGTAAAATTGGTAACAGGGAAATATTTCTTTAATAATAATAATCCTTGCATTTGATGTAGCACCTTATAAGGATAGCAATTAACTGCTACTAATAATATTCCTTAACTTCTCATCTGAAGGGCAGATAAACACAATGATACTGGATTAATTCCTTTTTCCAAAAGCTAGAGGCATTACACCAGCTGCCTGCAACGCAGAGGTCGCTGTGTGGCTGTGACCTGCATCGCAAAGCGCTTCACAGAATATATTGTAAATTACTATTAAATTAATTTATTATTAAATTAATTCATTATTAAATTAATTCATTATTAAATTGTTATGAATGTTATTATTAAAGGTATTATTATTACTACTAAAGTAATTTGTATTAGTATTAAATTATTATTATTAAACTAGTATTATCAGAAAGCAATGCGCAATTTAAAGCTATATTTATATGAACGCAACTTGAACTAAAAAAGGAATTTGTTGGGTCATTATGTTATTTGTGTTAAACTAACAAACAGCAGATTGATGTGAGGACTATGTTGTTGTTTCAGTGCTCGCTATAGAGCTTCTGGCAGCTTGTCAGGCTCTGGAGTTCCTGCGCCCACTTCATACCACAGCCCCCCTGGAAACCGTCTATCAACTAGTGCGCTCAGTGGTCAAGTAAGTCATAGCATCAGTACCTTCGTCTCAGAGGAAAATACTCAATAATAAATTGCTTGAAGGTTAAAAACAACTTTCACCTTCAGTTACTGTGATATGTAGAGTCCTGTAGCTCAGGTTAGAGCACTCGCCTCGCAAGCGAGAGAGAGAGGACCTGGGTTTGATTCCCAGGCAAAATCTTAGGCAAGTTTCCTTCCTCCACACACACGCCTCTGTTTACCAGCAGTAAATAAGAATTCGGTTGTTAGTTGATTGGAGGATGGCTTTTCTGGGGATAATAATCCTTTCAAAAAAAAATTGGTCGTTCAATCCACGAGTGTATGTGGGACACTGCTGTGCACAATTCGCTGCCGCGTTTCACCCACAAAATACACAGTCAATTCACTTTACGGTATATTCTGTGAAGCGCTTTGAGACATCTGACCGACATGATAAGATGCTGTATCAAATGCTAGAATTATTTTATTATATTCCCCTTAACCTTCGCACCTTCTGCTCTAAGTGCTCTAGGACGCTATATAAATCCAAGTTCTTGTTGTTGTTGTCATTGTCCAGAGCCCTGGATAAAGATCGTTCCATGGCCCCAGACATTGAAACTGCTCAGAGGCTGCTGACTGAAGAAAAGGCAAGTTACTGCTGTATTGTACATTTCTGGGAAGGTTTCACAGATACAGTAAAACTGGCATAAATCTCATCTGTATAAGTCATACATTGCCCACGTCTCATTCAAGTGTTTATACTCTACGCAAGTTTGACTAAACTCATTCATTGCATAAGTCATATTAAATGTGAGGTTTACTGATGTGAGGTTTACTGAACCTGATTATCACTGCTTAACAACAATTTCTTGTTAAGCAGTGATAATCAGGTTCAGTAATCCTGTAGCTCAGTGGTTAGAGCACTCGCCTCGCAAACGAGAGGACCTGGGATCAATTCCCGAGCAGGACAAAACCTTAGGCAAGTTTCCTCACTCCACACGCCTCTGTTTACCAGCAGTAAGTAGGAATCCAGTTGTTAGTCGATTGGCGGATCACTTTTCTCGGAGTAATATTTTGTTAAAAACTAATAATAACAAAAATAATAATAATAATTTGGTCACTTAATCCACGACTGTTTGTGGGACGCTGCTGTGCACAATTGGCTGCCGTGTTTTGCCCACAAGCACACAGTCAATTCACTTTACAGGGTATCCTGTGAAGTGCTTTGAGACTCTCAAAGACTTGATAAGGCGCTATATCAAATGCAAGGATTATTATTATTATAATTTTGTAATGATTTGTTTTAAACAGGTTTGGCAAGCAGTGCAGCCATATATGGAACATTACAGGAATGTTAAGACATCAGAATAAGCATTTGCTCCAACAGATGGATCTTTGAAGAATTCTCTGTGATCATCAGATAAATAACTGCTTAAGAAATGGCCTCAGTGTATAAGGACGGTTAAAGATCTCTTTTGGAGAAACACAAAGATTATTTTAACTTGATGTATTACTGTCTACTGTAAATGGAAAACAATACTATTTCGTGATTCTAGGGATGTGTTTGTATTTGTTTTGTGGTCATTGGAATATATATAAAACTCAATTCAGTCATCATGACAATCTACCATTTTTTTCCATAAACTCTCCATTATATAAACCTGCTTCTCTGCTTGTCAGAATGTTTCGACCTTTCGAACTTTCAAACTTTTTGAACTTTTTGCATTTGATATAGCGCTTTTCAAGTCTTCTGGACATCACAAAGCGCTTCACAGAATATGCTGTAATATACTGATATTTCTATACTAGTAACTCTCAGCTTGACAGAGGGACCTTATAACACCATTTCCAATTACTAGACAATAAGTTGTGGAGTCCTGTAGTGTAGTGGATAGTGTACTCGCCTTGCAAGCGAGAAGACCTGCTTTTTTTTTGTTGGAGGGCTTAGTATCCCCGGAACGTGATCTGCGAATTGAGTAACAATCGGGTTCCTACTTACTGCTGGTAATCAGGCATGTGGAGTAAGGAAACTTGCCTAAGGTTCTGTCCTGCCCGGTAATCTAACCCAGGTCCTTTCGCTTGCGAGGTGAATGCTCTAACCAATACGTTATGTGACTTTAAGGTTGCATTGATGCAGAGCAATAGTATATAAATCAGAGCAGTAAATTATATTACAGTCAAATAGTTCTTGAGTGAGTTATCTTTCTAACACACTGCAGGTAGAAGCCAACATCAGATTACTTCTTATCCCCTGAGCCAGCTCTCAGTTAGCAATTAACTACTATTACTAATAATCCTTAATGTCTCATCAAGGACAGATAAATGCAATGCTATTGGATTCATTCCTCCTTCCAAAGGCAAGAGGCATTACACCAGCTGCCTACAACACAGAGGTCGCTGTGTGGCAGTGACCTACGTTCGATTACAATACCATGTGCCGGCTGTTGACTCATAACTGGATTATACAATAAACGACAGTCATGACAAAGTGACCCCCAGGACACCCGAGTCAATGAGGCTGTGAACTGCAGCACAGAATGATACCTGGGGGGGTTGGGGACGGGTGGTTGGGGGGTGGCCACTCATTCGCTTCCAGGCAAATCTTTTTTTATAGAAAAGATGCAATCGACTACCAACCGGGTTCCTACTTACTGCTAAATAAACAGAGGTGTGTGGAGGAAGGAAACTTGTCTAAGGTTGTGTCCCGACCGGGAATCAAACCCGGGTCCTCTGGCTCGCCAGGCGAGAGCTCCACGACAATGGCAGGAAGGAGACGGTTTGCAATTACGTTGTGTTGTGCAGCAAAGTTGTATTTTGACCCAACAAATTTTGACCACAACACTTGAGTCTCGGAGGAGGAGCCTGTGGAGGGGGAGGGGCTTTACTCAGGCCTGGGGGAGGGGTTTGGGAAGGGGGAGGGAACACACGGCAACTTGTGATGTGATTGGAGGAGGTCTGGACATCCCCACTTCTCTATCAATCCCTCAGGACTGTGGTTGAGGAGTTGGTGAGGACAGACATCTCAGTGCTCCTCACACCCAGCACCACAGCTCCCAGCGGCCATGCCTCGCTACACCGTGCACGTGAGGAGCGAGTGGCTGACGGTGCCCTGCAAGGACACGTGTAGCACCGTGTTGTGGTTGGGCCGAGAGGCCTTGAGACGCTACGTGAAGAACAAGCCAGACAATGGCGGGTTGGACTGTGTGGCTGACGTGACGTTCCTGATGAGACGCTGTCAGGGACAGGGATTGTTAGATCCCGATGATGCCATTGAGGACGTTCTGGAAGACAATGATTTTGTGGAAGTTGGTAGGTTTGTGCTTAACAGGATTCACAGAATGAACGTTACAACAACTACAAAATGACGTTTATAGAGCGCCATTCACGCCAGGAGGACATCCCAAAGCGCTGGACAGTCAGGTGTCGGGGCCCGAGCATGGGGGAGGGGTGGGGGAGGGGTGGGGGGGGGGGGAAGGCAGAGAAGTGGGAGGGAGACCAAAGGCACGGTCGAAGAAAAGGGTCTTGAGACCGGCCTTGAAGGAGGCGAGGGAGGAAGCGAGGCCAAGGGACCATGGGATGGAGTTCCAGAGTGTGGGGGCAGAGGCTGAAAGCCCGGCCACCGATGGTAGCGCGGGTCGGGCGGGAGACATGGAGCAGTCAGAGGCCACTGAACGGAGGGAGTGGGCAGGTTGGTAGGGAGGCATTTACTGTTTTTACCCAGGGAGTTGTTCCAGTCTGGAATGCACAGCCTGAAAGGGTGGAAACACATTCAATAACAACTCTCAAAAGGGAATTGGAGAGGAACTTAAAAAGGAATGTGCGGGGCTATGGGGTAACATGGGGCAATGGGACTAGTTGGAGTAAGAGTGGAGGAGTGGGGACTAGTTGGGGTAAGAGTGGGGGGAGTGGGGACTAGTTGGGGTAAGAGTGGGGGAGTGGGGCTAGTTGGGGTAAGAGTGGGGGAGTGGGGCTAGTTGGGGTAAGAGTGGGGGAGTGGGGCTAGTTGATGGCTCTTTCAGAGCGACACAGGCTTGAAGGGCTGAATGGCCTCCTTCTGTGCTGTAAGATTCTATGATCCTATGATTTGACGATATATCACCCACTGCTTTACATTGAGCTCTGATCGCTGATGGATGTTCATTAACTAATCACAGTATTTATTTTTGAATTGAGTTATTGAGGGGGACGTTATGCCTCCAGACTTCATTCCATCTCAGCCGGAGAGAGTCCATCTGTATCCTTTCACAGCTTTATTCCCCGAGTAAAATAATATTTGGAAAGTAAATGGAGATGGAAAATCAATAGCGTGATTGCCTTAACTAATCGATCTCTCAGATACCACAAATATCGGGAGCCGGAGGAGGTAAATAATCCTTGTGTTTGATACACTGACACCTTTCACATCGGGAACATGTCACAAGGTGCTTCTCAGGATTTAATGCAAAGTTTCCTTACTCCACGCGCCTCTGTTTACCAGCACTAATTAGGAACCCGCTTGTTAGTCGATTGGCGGAACACTTTTCCAGGGGTAATAATCCCTTCCCAAAAATAAATGAAAATAATAATAATTATTTGGTCACTCAATCCACGGTTGTGTGTGGGACACTGCTGTGCGCAATTGGCTGCCGCGTTTCACCCACAAAATACACAGTCACTACACTTTACAATATATCCTGTGAAGCGCTTTGAGACATCTCAACGATGTGATAAGGCGCTGTATCAAATGCCAGGATTATTATTGCTCAGTAACTCAACATACAACTGTTTTGGAATATTTCTCTAATTATAATGTGTCGAATGTCAAGTAAGTTGTCTCCGCTCGGCTGGCTCTGGCCTCCTTCTTGTCCCTCGTCCTCTCCGCTTCACCGTCGGTACCTGTGCTTTCAGCCACTACGACCTGAAGCTTTGTAACTCTCTGCCACGAGTCCTCCATCTTGTCCCCTCCTTCCCTGCTTTTAGATCACAACTAAAGACCTTCCGCTTCGACCGTGCTTACAGTCATCTCCTCCCTCCTCCCTCCCTCCCCCCAGCCTGACACTGTTAAGCGCTCCGAGATGCTACCCCCACCCCCATGAAGGACGCTGTGTAAATGCAAGTTGATGTTGTAAAACAATCTGAAGGAAAAACAATCTCTCAGAATATTTATTTAGACGGAAACAATCTAACCACAGAAGACCTGGTTTCTTTGGGAAGAGGACTTTACAAGATCAAGGTTCGAATCTTACTACTAAAGTCAATATGTTTAGAAATTCTTTGTGTAGTGCAATTAAACATTAAACGCGTGGATTCCTGTAGCTCAGTGGTTAGCGCACTCACTTGCAAAGGGCACGAGAGGACCCGGGTTTAATGCCCGGGCAGGACAAAACCTTACGCAAGTTTCCTTACTCCACGCGCCTCTGCTTACCAGCAGTAAGTAGGAACCAGTTGTTAGTCGATCAGTGAATCGCTTTCCAGGGGTAATAATTCCTCCAAAAAAAATGGTCATTCAATCCACGGCTGTTTGTGGGACGCTGCAGTGTGTAATTGGCTGCTGGGTTTCACCAACAAAATACACAGCCACTTCACTCTACAGTATATCCTGTGAATCGCTTTGAGACGTCTCAAAGACGTGATAAGGCGCTGTATCAAATGCCAGGATTATTATTATTATTATGTGTTTGAATGACAATGTTATGGAATGTGTCTCTAGTTGACTGAAGAATCAGAGGAGAGGATCAGACAGTCGAGACTGCTTCTGGAAAATATTGTGAAAGAAAATAAAGGTATTTCAGGGAAAGAAATATCACTGGGAATCTGAATGATATCAGCAACATCTGTGAGATGAATACAATTAAACTAAAGGCCTCTAAAAATAAGTAATAGATGAAGGGTAATAATCCCTTCAAAACAAATAAATAGATAAATAATAAGTAAATATATAAATAATCTGATCACTCAATCCACGACTGTTTGTGGGACACTGCTGTGCAGAATTGGATGCCACGTTTCGCCCCAAATTCACTTTACAGTATATTCTGTGAAGCGCTTTGAGACGTCTTGAAGACATGGTAAGGCGCTGTATCAAATGCAAAGATTATTATTATAAGTAACATTGAAGTGTTCATTTTGTTTTCCCTTTCAGTTGTTTATGGAATAACTACTGGCTTTGGTAAATTTGCTCGAACTGTGATCCCACACAATAAGCTCAAGTAAGTCATGTTACTCGTTGGCCTAATAACTTTGGACATTGTTACAGTAGTTTTATCATTTATAATGTCCAGGCTTCTAGGAAGCTTTAACTCGTACCATTTTGGCAACTTTAAGCTTATTTGAATATACAGATTCTTTCTGGAAATTGTCTTTAAATGTGGCTCACACCTTTGGTTGTTAGGTCACAGTATCCGTTGATTAACTCATTGCAAAGCAGCATTTAAGTCCGTGATCAGAATTGATCCAAATCAAAACCTTACGCCTTATGGCTTTTTAATGGAAAAGATGAACAATATTTTTTTTAGGAATGTAACCTTTTAGGAATGTGGAGTCCTGCAGCTCAGTGGTTAGAGCACTCGCTCTCAAGCGAGAGGACCCGGGTTCGATTCCCAGTTGGGGCGAAGCGTGGGGCGAGCTTCCTTACTCCACACGCCTGTTTCCCCAGCAGAGAGTAGGAATACGGTTGTTAGTCGATTGGTGGATCACTTTTCAGGGATTAATAATCCCTTGAAAAAAATTGAGTCACTCAATCTACGACCGTTTGCGGAACACTGGCGTGGGCCATTGGCTGCCACATTTTGCCCACAAAATATACAGTCAATTTACTTTACAGTATATTTTGTCAAACGCTTTGCGACATCTTGATGACATGCAAGGATTATTATTAATATTTTCCTTGTTCCTCAGGGAACTCCAGGAAAACCTTGTGCGTTCCCATTCAGCTGGTAAGGACCTCTTTATTGCCATGTTTTGTGACATGTTAAAATTGTGCTGGATTATTTTGAATTCTGATTCTCTTTCACTGAAACCTTTGCTGCTGCACGTTGCCCAGGTGTTGGGAAGCCCTTGACTCCAGATAGATCTCGGATGCTCCTTGCTTTGAGGATCAATGTTCTCGCTAAGGGATACAGTGGGATTTCTTTGGAAACCCTCCAGCAAATGATCCAGGCTTTTAATGGTGAGAAAAACAATCTCTCTCAGATTTGCTAAAGTGACTTCGCATCTTTTCAGTGTGAAATTGACACCATAGAATGGATAATAAACCCTTCAAAACAAAAATAAATTTTAAAAATAATAATAATTTGGTCACTCAATCCACAGCTGTTTGTGGGACGCTGCTGTGTGCAATTGGCTGCCGTGTTTCACCCACAAAATATATAGTCACTAAAACTTTACAGTATATTCTGTGAATCGCTTTGAGACATCTCGAACACGTGATCAGGTGCAATATCAAATGCCAGGATTATTATATTCTCTCTTTCTCCTGTAGCTTCCTGTCTCTCATACGTCCCAGAGAAGGGAACAGTTGGGGCCAGTGGAGATCTGGCTCCCCTTTCTCACCTCGCCCTGGGGCTGATGGGTGAAGGCAAAATGTGGTCACCAAAAAGTGGATGGGCAGACGCCAAATATGTGAGTTATTCATTCTGTTCCGTGAAATACTAAGGCTTCAATGGGGGTCAAGAATCATCCCACTCAGCTCCTGGTAACCCTGCAAATCCTACTCTCTCCCTCTATCCCCACACCTTACCCCCTGCTTCCCGATCTTCATGCCTGAAGACCTTCCTCTTCCACCGTGGCTATGGTCACCTCCCCCTCCCCCCGGCTCGGTGTCGTGCTCTGCCACTGTCAAGTGCTCTGGGACGCTCCCTGTGTGAGGGGGCTGTGTAAATGTGAGTTGTTATTGTTGTTGCTGCTGCTGTTGTGAACAGGTTGGATTCAATGGATCCTTTACAACATTTTGCACCAATAACAAAACTTTCTCTTTCAGGTTTTGCAAGCACATGGCCTGAAGCCCATTACACTGAAGCCGAAGGAGGTAATTCAGGGGTTTGATTTTATTGTTTCTTTCACTGATGTGCGATTGTTTCAATCAGCAACACTGTCCTATGCGGCAGATATGGCACTTGATCTTCAATTTAGAATGGCATGGTTGTACGTTATTGTTCTTTATTTGTTCATCATACAGGGACTGGCTCTCATTAATGGGACACAGATGATCACGTCGCTGGGAGCTGAGGCTGTGGAGAGAGCGACTGCTATAGCCAGACAGGCTGACATTATAGCAGCTCTTACACTGGAGGTTCTGAAAGGCACCACAAGAGCCTTTGACAGTGGTGAGTGATTAGTTAGTGTTATACCCAATGGGCATTCTAGCTCAGTGTCCTGTGGCTTAATGGTTAGAGCCCTCGCCTCGCAAGCGAGAGGACCTGGATTCAATTTCTGGGCAGGGCGAAACGTTGGGCAAGTTTCCTTACTCCACACACCTCTGTTTATTTAGCAATAAGTAGGAACTCAGTTGTTAGTCGATTGGCCGATCGCTTTTTTGGGAGTAATAATCCCTTCAAAAAAATAAAACATTTGATCACTCAATTCACGACTGTTTGTGGGACACTGCTGTGTGCAATTGGCTGCTGTGTTTCACCCACAAAATATACAGTCAGTATATTCAGTATATTCTGTGAAGTGCTTTGAGACGTCTCAAAGACGTGATAAGGTGCTATATCAAATGTAAGGATTATTATCATTATTACAAGTCTTGCTACTTTACGGAATAATAAATTGCTGATATCATAACCGCAAAGGCTTATCTTATCTTATAAGCCTTTGTGGTTATAAGATATATATTATAGAATGTATATGATTATATCACATTTCGGGAAACAAATTCATCACATCATATGTCCTTTAGGTAAATGCGACATAAATCTCTGAGTGCTTATTGCAGCTGGATTTACAGTGTGCTGTTACCCATGTGTTTAGACATTCATGAATTACGTCCTCACCCTGGCCAGGTGGAGGTAGCCTTTCGATTTAGGTCACTGCTGGGTTCTGACCATCATCCCTCTGAAATAGCAGGTAAGCAGTCCCATGGGTTTCAAATAGCGTTGCAATATTCTGAATGTGCTCATAATATTTGTATCAGTCTTCCTTGGAGTTCCATAGCGTAGTGGTTAGAACCCTCGTCTCACAAGCCAGAGGACCTGGGTTTGATTCCCGGGCAGGGTGAAACCTTAGGCAAGTTTCCTTACCCCACACACCTCTGTTTACTCAGCAGTAAGTAGGAACCCGCTTGTTAGTCGATTGGCCGATCGTTTTTCTGGGGGTAATAATCCCTTCAAAAAAAATAATAATTTGGTCCCTCAATCCACGGCTGTTTGTGTGCAATTGGCTGCCGCGTTTCGCCCACAATATGTTCTTTGAAGCGCTTTGAGATATTGTCTCAACGACGTGATAAGGCGCTTTATCAAATGCAAGCATAATTATTATTATTATCGTTTTGTACATTTTTCACAGAAAGCCACAGGTTCTGTGATCGTGTCCAGGATGCATATACTCTACGATGTTGCCCTCAGGTAGCCAATATTTCATTGCGATCTGATGGTTGAAATGTTTCGGATGCATTACAGTAAACCTCACATAAGTCATATCAGTTGGAACCAGACATTTATTATGTCTTATGCAAAGTAGGAGTCATTTCAAACTTGTATAGAATATAAACTGTTGAACGTGACTTGGGCAGATGTACGACTTAGTGATTATACGATTGATACAGATCAGAATTGTGCCAGTTTTACTCTGTGACTATTTGCACGATGTAACTTGTAACTGCCCTTCAAATTAAGAAAGCATGTGAAAGCTGTATAGCTCTGTTTAAATTGCCTACAAATACAGTCACTCCCCTCAAAGGAAAATCCTGTAAATTGCATTGAGATGTCTCGATGACATGAAATATTGCTATATGAAATGCAAGGATTATTATTATATTATTATTATAACTTGAGTACTTTTGTTTCAGGTACATGGGGTGGTGAATGACACTATTGCTTTTGTGAAAAACATCATTCAGACTGAAATTAACAGTGCTACAGATAACCCTGTATCCTTTGTGAATTTAAACAACCGATAATATGCAACGGCATAATATGTTCTAAGTTATAAATAATAATAATGTGATAATTATTAGTATTATCAATGATAAATTGTAATTAATTAGAATAATGAGGTGATAAGTTGTAAATAATAATATAAGTTAGTAAGTTATAAGTGATAAAGCTCTATATCTAATGCAAGGCTTGTTATTATTATTGCTAATATATATACCCACAAATATATACAGTCAATTCACTTTACAGTATTTTCTGTGAAGTGCTTTGGGACGCCTCGAAGATGTGATACGGCGCTGTATCAAATACAAGGATTATTATTATTACTGTAATACAGCCTCCATTCTCACTCTATCGTATTTCATCATTAGCAATTAAAGATGAATTGGAAAAACGTACCATAGCAGTAAATTATGGTTTGCCCCCTAGCCCTTGATACCCTGACCTAACAAACATCTCTCCACCTCAGTCTTGATAATGTGAATGGATCCACAGCCATGATCCACAGTCTTTTGGCGGAAAGAGAGAGTTCCAGATTTCCACTGGCCTTTGCATAAAAAACTGCCCCTGATTTCACTCCTAAATGGCATCGCTGTATTGTTACGATGATGCCCCCATTGCATTGACTTTGTCAATCTACTACTGAAATTCTACTTAAAATAAGTCGGATTTCAGCAGTACATAGACAGAGTCTTCCCAGCAGTTTTAAACCTTAATTTATTTACTAAAGATGGTGTTTGCAGAAAGAGGAGAGACCATTTCTGGGGGAAACTTTCACGGAGAATATCCCGCAAAAGTAAGTGGCCATTTTAATGATTGTTTTTGTAACCTGTTCATTGACCTGAGTCTCACATATAATATCCACAGTGTTGTGTTGTCTGGAAGCTGAGTGTTTAGAGCACTTGCCTCACAAGTGACTGTTTGTGGGACGCTGCTGTGTGCAATTGGCTGCCAAGTTTCGCCCACAAAATATACAGTCAATTCACTTCGCAGTATATTCTGTGAAGCACTTTGAGACGTCTCATAGATGTGATATGGCATTGTATCAAATGCAAAGATTATTATTATGATGATGTTGATTCTGCTTGTGTTAGGCCCTCGACTACCTGGCTATTGGTGTTCATGAACTGGCCGCGATCAGTGAGAGGAGAATCGAGAGGCTGTGTAACCCTTCTCTCAGTGAATTGCCAGCCTTCCTGGTCAATGAAGGAGGGTTGAACTCTGGTTTTATGATCGCTCATTGTTCAGCAGCTGCTTTAGGTAAGTTAGCATTCCCTTCAAAAATAATAATAATTTAGTCACTCAATCCACAACTGTGTGTGGGACGCTGCTGTGCGCAATTGGCTGCTCACAAAACACACAGTCACTACACATTATAGTGTATTCTGTGAAGTGCTTTGAGACGTCTTGAAGACGTGATAAGGTGCTATATCAAATGCCAGGATTATTATTATTATTACTTCTCCCTTGTTTGGCATCAAATCCCACCACAGTTCAGTGCTCAGATACGCTACGAAAGGTGCTCTATATTTATATACAGTAAATGTAAAATACAGAAAATACAGTAAAAGTTGTTGTTTGTTACATTTGACCTTTTCAGAAAGCCTAAGGCACTGAGCACAGCCTTATTTTTATTTCCTGCAGTGTCTGAGAACAAGGTTCTGTGCCACCCGTCATCAGTTGACTCCCTGTCCACCAGTGCAGCCACTGAGGATCATGTCTCTATGGGGGCTGGGCTGCCAGGAAAGCCTTGAGGGTCATAGAGCACGTGGAGCAAGGTAACCCTGACTGAAACCACAGAGACTGAGGATCACTTTAATGCTGCATCGTGAACGCCTGTGGTTTGTGATTAGAGCACTCACTGAGTGAGCGAGAGGACCTGGGTTCAATTCCCAGACAGGGCGAAACCTTAAGCAAGTTTCCTTACTCCACACACACGCCTCTGTTTACCAGCAGTAAGTAGGAACCCAGTTGTTAGTCGATTGGCAGATCACGTTTTATTTAATTTGTAGATTTGGTAATAATCCCTTAAAATAATAATAATAATAATAATTTGGTCACTCAGTCACGGCTGTTTGTGGGACGCTGCTGTGCGCAATTGGCTGCCGCGTTCGCCCACAAAAATATACAGTCAATTCACTTTACAGTGTGTTCTGTGAAGCGCTTTGGGATGTCCTCCCGACGTGAAAAGCGCTATATCAAATGCAAAGATTATTATTATTATCTACAATCTGTAAATGTTGGCTGATTAGCAAGTTATATGCTATTCCTCTCTTGCCGTTTCAGTGCTTAGCATTGAGCTCCTCGCAGCCTGCCAAGGGATAGAATTTCTCCGTCCTCTCAAGACAACAACTCCACTGGAGAAGGTCTATGATCTTGTGCGTACGGTGGTCAGGTTTGTTGAATCACACTATCTATTTTCGGGTAATATTTGAGAAAAGGTTGTGCAAAGTGTTGACAAATGAGGCCAGAGACCAAACACATGGACATACATAGGTCCAGTCAACAATGTTAATGTTTGTTCTACTGTCTCCCTTCTCCTAGACCTTGGATTAAAGATCGTTTCATGGCGCCCGACATTGAAGTTGTCCACAGGATGCTGGTGGAACAGAAGGCAAGTTGATGGGCAAAAGTCCTGAAATTCCAGCTAGTCATAGTCAGTCCTAGAAGAGGAATGCAAAATTTGTGGAGTCCTGTAGGGTATTGGGTAGAGCACTCGCCTTGCAACCGAGAGGACCCGGGATCGATTCCCGGGCAGGTCAGGGTAAAACCTTAGGCAAGTTTCCTTACTCCACACAAAGCCTCTGTTTACCAGCAGTCAGTAGGAACTCGCATATTAGTCAATTGGCAGATCACTTTTTGGGCATTAATAATCCCTAAAAAAAAGTCAGTTAATCCACGACTGTTTGTGGGACACTGCTGTATGCAATTAGCTGCTGCGTTTCACCCACAAAATACACAGTCAATTCAACAACAACAAATTACATTTGTTTAGCGCCTTTTCCAAATTTGCTTTACAATGTATCAACAAAGTGATAAGACGTCATGTTAAATGCAAGCATTATTATTATAAAACCATTTTGTCTTAACATTTAAGATTATGAAAAATTGTGGAAAATACTTGTGAAAAATTGTCTTGATTGGAAGTTTGTTTTACAAACTGCAGAAGTCCAGCTTCCACAATAACACTGAATTTAAGTGCTTTCCATAATTCTGTATTGTGCAGTTTTCAATTTAAGATCAAACAGTCTTACCGGCTAAGACTGGCTGGAATTTGGGGCTAAATTTATTGACATTAGATAAATGTGTTTGACTGTACAGTTAAACATTGATTTGAGGAACAAATATTTAAAGTGAAAATCAAACGACACACATTCTTAGTGTTTGGAGTATTTGGGTTACTGGGAAAAGACCTTAGTTAAGAAATGTCTTCCTTTCCTAGAAAATTGGGTATGTTATTTTATGAAAATCACGCTCAGAATCTGCTTCAAAAATCATCCCTATCTTGTTGTTTGCAGTTCTGCAATGATCCTGAATAGACAAGCTCATGTTCTGTAGGGTCACAAACCCCATTCTATACTCTTTTATTTGGCTTGTCAGCCTGGCTCAGTGGTAGCTCTCTCACCTCAAAGTCAGGAAGTTGTGGGTTCAAGCCCCAAGTTGGACCTTAAACTCACACAGTCTAAGCTGACACTGCAATGCAATGCTTGGTGGGGGTTGCATTGTCTGAGATACTTGTCCTTCAGTTTGGATATTAATTTGAGGTCCTGTCTGCCTGTTCAGGTGGATGTTAAAGATCCCATGGCACTATTTGAAAAGAGAAGGGAGTTTCTCTCTCGTGGTGTCCTGACCAACAATCCCCCAAATAGAATTGGTTATGGGTTTCATGGCTGTTCATGGGACACTGCTGTGCATCATTGCGCTGAGTGATGCGCACAGTCACTCTACCTTCACTGTAAGTCCTGTGAAACTCTTTGGGATATCCTCCTGAAGTTTCTATTGGGTCAGCCGCATGTTTGGCACATGCAGAAACCCATCACCATACTTCAGAGTGAAAGGCGCAAGGATTATTTTTGTTCCCTATTAAAAATGATTATGATTAACAATGTTTTTTTTGCTTTTGATCTGATTGCTTCTCTTCTCACAGGTCTGGCAAGTGGCACATCCTTACATAGAGAAGTACAGAACAGCCAACGTACCAGAAACGAGATCGGTTTCCCCCACTGCCTTTTCACTGGACTCTCTAGAGCCTTCATGCAAGCGAGCTCGTAAAGAATAAGCTTTGTGCTTGACAGAGTTACATATCTAAGTGTACCATAGCAGAAAGCTACCTCTTATGTAGCGTACCATCATCTTATAACAGTGTACAACTCAATCTGTGAATGTAGAGTTTATAAGTGGGTTTCAGTGATACTTGAATTATTTGATAAATTGTGGAGATTTCATCTTGGATATATGCCATTTTACTGGGTGTCTGGAAATTTATTGCAATGGACCTTAGTTTGTAAATGGGACACTTTGGTGTGTGAGAGAGAGAGAAAGAGAGCGAAAGATCACAAGACTGGTTTGGATGAAAAAGGTAATCAGAAGATGTTTAGGCCAGAATATACAATGAGTTTGGATTACAATGTAGTGAGGGTGTAGGAATGACACATGCCAACAGTATAGGTAAAGGGAGACAACATAAAAATATAAGAACTTGCTAGATGAAAGACCAAGGTCCATCCAGTTCACCTTCCACCATCCTGGCAGTCGCTTGGCATGTCATGTCCCAAACTCTCTATTGTATCCCCAGATATTATTTCCTAATAGAAATCTATCTCATTTGTTCATGAAAGAATCAACACTTTCTGCTTCCACCGTCTCCCTAGAGAGATTGTTCCATGTGTTTAATACTCGCTCACTGAGGTGATATGAGATCTGGGAAAGCAAAGTAATGAGGTCAAGATGGAATCCTATTTAAATAGACAGCTATTTCTTGTGATTGCAGCATTACACCTTGCACTCTCCCTCGCCTCCTTCAAGACCCTTCTTAGGACCTTCCTCTTCAACTGCGCCTTCAGCCACCCTCCTCTCCCCGCCCTCCACGCCCCCAGCTTGGGTTCAAATCCCTGACTGTCCAGCACCTTGGGACGTCCTCCTGATGTAAAGGGCACCGTTTAAATGTCATTTGTTGTTGTTATATTGCTGAAATTATCAATTAATGTGTGATATAAGAAATGAAATGCTTTGGTGTTAAACAAAAATAATAAGGATGGGGGAAGGTAAGCATGATACGTGGAGTGTTATTTGGTCATTGACTGTTAAAGCCATGAGGCTACAGTGAAATTGATTGTGAATAAACTAGAGGTTGTTTATTGATTCAGAGTGAAGGGCCCTTATTTGTAAGCGAGGGGGACGGTGATATTTATAAGTCAACTATGAATTACAAAAACCTATAAAGTAACTTCAAGTTTAGACATTGAATTGAGTTCGTTTTCATTCTGTTTTGCCACATAACTACACAGAGAGATATGAAAAGATTGAAATTTGAATTCTTTGACTTTATAATAATAATCCTGGTATTTGATACAGCGCCTCATCACATCTTCGAGACGTCTCAAAGCGCTTCACAGAATATACTGCAAAGTGAATTGACTGTATATTTGTGGGCGAAATGCGGCAGCCAATTGCACACAGCAATGTCCCACAAACAGTCGTGGATTGAAGTGACCAAATTATTATTGTGTTTTTCTGTGCTGCCTAAATAGCATCAAACCATCCTGACGTAGAAACCAAAACATAGTCAGTGTTTTAAACTGAATGTTTGTATTAACAAATGGGATTGAACAAGGTCAACATTGCCCAAACTTGTTTTGTGTGTTGGGGAGGACAAGTTTGGAGGGCTATGGGGAGAGAGTGGGGGAGTGGGGTTGATCAGGGCTATGGGGAGAGAACAGGGGAGTGAGGTTGATCAGGGCTATGGGGAGAGAGCGGGAGAGTGGGGTTGATCAGGGTTATGGGGAGAGAGTGGGGGAGTGGGGTTGATCAGGGCTATGGGGAGAGTGGGGGAGTGGGGTTGATCAGGGCTATGGGGAGAGAGCGGGGGAGTGGGGTTGATCGGGGCTATGGGGAGAGAGCGGGGGAGTGGGGTTGATCAGGGCTATGGGGAGAGTGGGGGAGTGGGGTTGATCAGGGCTATGGGGAGAGAGCGGGGGAGTGGGGTTGATCGGGGCTATGGGGAGAGTGCGGGGGAGTGGGGTTGATCAGGGCTATGGGGAGAGAGCGGGGGAGTGGGGTTGATCAGGGCTATGGGGAGAGAGTGGGGGAGTGGGGTTGATCAGGGCTATGGGAGAGAGTGGGGGAGTGGGGTTGATCAGGGCTATGGGGAGAGTGCGGGGGAGTGGGGTTGATCAGGGCTATGGGGAGAGATCGGGGGAGTGTGGTTGATCAGGGCTATGGGGGGAGCGCGGTGGAGTGGGGTTGATCAGGGCTATGGGGAGAGAGCGGGGGAGTGGGGTTGATCAGGGCTATGGGGAGAGAGTGGGGGAGTGGGGTTGATCAGGGCTATGGGGAGAGAGTGGGGGAGTGGGGTTGATCAGGGCTATGCGGAGAGTGGGGGAGTGGGATTGATCAGGGCTATGGGGAGAGAGTGGGGGAGTGGGGTTGATCAGGGCTATGGGGAGAGATCGGGGGAGTGTGGTTGATCAGGGCTATGGGGGGAGCGCGGGGGGAGTGGGGTTGATTTGGAAGCTCAAAGAGCGGCACAGACACGATGGGCCGAATGGCCTCCTTCTATGCTGTACAATTCTATGATTCTAAGATCTAACCGGTGGATCTTCCTGCCACGACCACTGAATAAAAATAATAATTGTGACTTTAAAAGCATTGTGTTCTTCTGGCCCTTACTATGAACTCTTCCTAACAATCCCTTTTTACTCATCACCAATGTTAGAATTTGTGGCTTTCAGTAACTTATTAACTCTTAAGTTAAACAGTTGGTCAATGGTCTCGATGTTTTAAACTGAATGTTTGTGTTCCATCAAATGGGATTGAACAAGGTCAAAATTGCCCAAACTTGTTTTGTGTCTGGAATGTACGGCTCTCATTCTCAGGACATTTGCAGCGACTGTGTTTTGGTGTCCAACAGGATGGTTTGGTACTGTTTAGGCAGCGCAGAAAGTCAAAGAATTCAAATTTCAAATGCCTCCTGCCAATCCACTGACTGACATGTGAGCATAAAAAGGAACCATAAAATTCACATAAGTCTGATCTGTATAAATCGCATAATCGCTAAGTCGTACGTTTGCCCAAGTCCAGGTCAAGAGTTTATATTCTATATAAGTTTGACATAACTCCAACTTTGCATAAGTCATAGTAAATATCTGGTGCCATCTGATAGGGCTGAGGTTTAATATATTATCCTTTCAGTGTAAAGTTGGGTGGAATATAGCCTGAAGTGATAGGTACAATGATAACCTCTGGACTCCACCGATCAAAAGGTTCCTCGGTGTGAAACCCTTTACAATATCTGCCAACATTGCCATTGTCAGACTGTTGGAAATGGTGAGAATTTCTGGAAAAAATGTTGATCTTTAAGTTAAATTAATAATCCAATTTTGAGCAAAATTTTATTTACAGAATCCTCATAAGAATTTAACATCTTAAATCCACAGCTTGGACACCATAAAAGCAGGTTTTCATGAGAGTACAGACTGACAAGAAAGAATGCAATGGCAATTTATTTATATACCTTTGTCCTCATGTTTTAATTGCACAGTCACTACACTTTACAGTATATCCCATGAAGCACTTTGAGGCATTCTTCCAACGAGAAAAGCTGTATCAAACGCAAGGATTATTATTTATTATGACGTTTGATGATTTGGTTATAATTCACCTTGCAGTAGTAAAGACACACAATGATTCTTAAGGTCAATGCTGGAAAACCTTCTCAGTTGCCTATCTGTTACGCAGTATTAATGTGTATAAATACAGGATTTCATACAATCACAACAGATAACTGGTTTGAAAGGAAGACAGGATGTGCATACTGGTACAATGTTATACAATCTTCATGTTCTTCTAAACTCCTGACGATCATGTTGGGCATCATATAAATCTCACTAAGTTGAGTGTTGATTCTTTCAAGGACAAATGAGATAGATTTCTGTTAGGAATTACTATCTCAGGACACATTAAACACGGCATGTCAAGCGACTGCCAGGATGGTGGAAGGCAAACTGGATGGACCTTGGTCTTGTTTTGTCGGCAAAATGTTTGTGTGGTTGAGAATTTGAAAGTCTGAAGTTAATAATACCCAAGGCAATTCTTGTTTTCATAGGCCACCTTCCCTCTGACAATCACACACTGGATGAGCTCCTGATGGGCTCCGAACTGGTATATCAAGTGCTCCCATCTGAAATCAAGGATGGCAATGCTGCTGAATGTGCAGTTTGCTGTCATGTTTATAAGCTTTTTAAACCATTTAAAAAAAAACGTTTCAATGGAATAAGCATTTAACAGGTCTCCCGGCCAATCAATTCCACTTTGAGGCAAATGCACAGTAGTTCCATCAATCAATAATTTACAACAGTTTAATCATCTATTGTTTACGCAGCAGCAGCAACAACAACAACAACAGCAACTTGGATTTACATAGCGCCCCACACCTGGACGGCGTCTCAGAGCTTCACAGCAACGGATCCCGGGACCGAGCCAGGGGGAGAGGGAGGAGCCAGGGAGGGGAGGAGCCATGGGAGGGGAGGAACCAGGGGAGGGGAGGAGCCAGGGGAGGGGGAGGGGCCAGGGAGGGAGAGGGGGAGGGGAGGAGCCAGGGGAGGGGGAGGAGCCAGAGAGGGGAGGGGCCAGGGAGGGGAGGAGCCATGGGAGGGGAGGAGCCAGGGGAGGGGGAGGGGCCAGGGAGGGAGGGGGAGGAAGGTGACCAAAGGTGCGGTCGAGAAGAAAGGTCTTCAGCCGAGACCTGAGAATAGGAAGAGAGGGGACGAGGGGAAGGGAGTGAGGAAGGCAGTTCCAGAGCCTCGGGGCACAGGGGCTGAAGGCACGGCCACCGAGGGGGGGGCGGAGGACTCGGGGGACGAGGAGGAGGTCAGACCTGAGGAACGAAGGCAACGGGTAATGTGCTGAGGAGAGAGGAGGTCAGAGAGGTCGGGGAGTGCAGAGGAGTGCAGGGACTTGAATACGAGGTGAGGATCTTGAAATGGATCCTCTCTGGGACAGGAGCCGGTGCAGTCTGACCAGGACTGGGGGATCGGGGAGCGGGGTTTGGGGGTGGGGGGGAGGGCCAGGACTGGGGGAGCGGGGTTTGGGGTGTGGGGGAGGGCAAGGACTGGGGGGATCGGGGAGTGGGGGGGGGAGGGCCAGGACTGGGGGGAGCGGGGTTTGGGGTGTGGGGGAGGGCCAGGACTGGGGGATCGGGGAGCGGGGTTTGGGGGTGGGGGGGAGGGCCAGGACTGGGGGGATCGGGGAGCGGGTTTTGTGGGTGGGGGGGAGGGCCAGGACTGGGGGATCGGGGAGCGGGGTTTGGGGGTGGGGGGGAGAGCGAGGACTGGGGGGATCGGGGTTTGGGGGTGGGGGGGAGGGCCAGGACTGGGGGGGTCGGGGAGCGGGGTTTGGGGTGGGGGGGAGAGCGAGGACTGGGGGGATCGGGGTTTGGGGTGGGGGGGAGGGCCAGGACTGGGGGGATCGGGGAGCAGGGTTTGGGGGTGGGGGGGAGGGCCAGGACTGGGGGGATCGGGGATCGGGGTTTGGGGGTGGGGGGCAGGGCCAGGACTGGGGGGATCGGGGAGCGGAGTTTGGGGGTGGGGGGGAGGGCCAGGACTGGGGTGATCGGGGAGCGGAGTTTGGGGATGGGGGGGAGGGCCAGGACTGGGGGGATCGGGGAGCGGGGTTTGGGGGTGGGGGGGAGGGCCAGGACTGGGGGAGCGGGGAGCGGGGTTTGGTGCGGGTGAGAATGCGGGCGGCAGAGTTCTGGATGATGTGGGCTGTATGGATGGTAGTGGAGGGGAGACCGGTGAGGAGGGCATTAGAGTAGTGCAGCCGAGAGGTGACAAAGGCCTGGACCAGAGTTTCATTGGCTTTTGGGGAGAGATATTGGCGGAGACGAGTGATGCATCAGAGGTGGAAGAAGGCGGTGCTGGTGAGGGACCGGGTGTGGGGGAGGAAGGATAATTGGGGGTCGAACCTGACGCCTAAGTTGCGTATGGGTTTGGAGAGTTTTAGGGGGAGGTCGGGTTGGTGGAGGAGGTGAGAACCATGTGATTTTAGACGTTGACTGGAGCTGGTGAGTAGGAACCCGGGTGTTAGTCAATTGGCGGATCACATTCTGGGGGTAATAATCCCTTCAAACAAATATTATAAAAATGTTGTCACTCAATCCACTACTGTCTGTGGGACGCGGCTGTACACAATTGGCTGCTGCGTTCCGCCCACAAAATATACAGTCACTACACTGTACA